TATCACAACTTATGAGCAAGGATTTGTTAATGTTTGAAAAGCTCCAAGATACAACACTGTCATTTCCACCCTTTTTTAATACAGACCTCCAGAGATTTGTCACGCAAGAGGAAAGCATTCAACAATTAGCAAAGTACCAGCATCATCAGCATGACACACATTTATACATGTTAAAAGTAATGAGGGTCTTAACCTTTTGTTCTATATTTTCATTGGCAGGATTTTCCCCCAGTAATACACAAAATAATGGTATATCTTACAAATGGCATCTTAGGAAGCCATAAAACAACTTCACTTCTCAAAATTACAAGTTTCAATCCAAAAACAGTCCACTATCTTACACATGACGAAAATGAAAACTCAAAACGTTATTTCAACATCATTAAATTAATAGCAAAAGAGATTGTTATCCAAGTCTTCTGACTCCCAATGGTGCCTTTTCCATCACACAGCCTGCCTCCTAATTTAAGTAAGATGAAAAAAAGACTACCTGGATTTAACAAAAAGCTAATGAAGTTCACACATACAGATACATATAGCTCTTATGTTCTGAATCAAGAGGCTGTTTCAGACCGACCCAAAAGAAATAATAAAATCAGTCAGTTTTGTGTGCTTTTGTCTTCGATTAAAACGTATAATGAACCATACAATTCAGAATTGACAGCTTCTCTTAAAATAGAGATTCCACCTAATGCATTACAATGACTCAGTACAATCTTACTTGCAGTTTCTTTTCCCCAAAGGAGAAAGACTCCAAGGAAATTTGCCCCTAGAGCCAAAAGTTAAAGGCTAAAAACCTGGCGGTCTACTCATTTTACCTGCACTAGTAACTTCGCACATCTTTTCCTGGCTAAGAACTAACTGCACAATTCACAGGTGGTTGGTAACATTAACGTCCGTCCTTGCGGGGAAAACTAAAGGAACCCGATGAAATCAGTGATGCCGGCGGTTGGTTTGTAGAACTCTCAGGGGAGGGCAGGGGCACAGCCCGGGGAGAAGCACAGACAAGGACACGTTAGCATCTGGGCTCCGGGGGCTGGAGGCGGGGAGAGTAGCGGGAGAGCGCGGGCCTAGCGACTCCGTACTCCCCGCGAGATCCCTCGCTCGCCTCTCCACCCCGCGAGTCTCGGGGACCTCAGAGGTGGGGGCCGCCCGGCAGAGGGGGCTGGGGCGCCTGCCAGGTGGCGGTGGCGGGGGCTCGGCTCCGCTGCGCTCCGAGGCCGCGGGAGGCCATTTTAGCTCGGGCCGCCGAAGGCCCTAGCGGCCCTCCACGTCCCCAAACCTCGGCCGTCTCTCCCTCCCCGCCCCCACGGGGGGCCGCTCCGCGCCGCGGCCGGGCGGAACAGGGCGGGGCGGGCCGAGAGAGGCCGCGGGCCCGAGCGGGGCAGCCGCGGGCCGGGGCGCGGGGCCGCCGGGCGGGGGCCGGCGCGGGGGCGTCGCGTCGGCGGGATCTGGGCCGGGGGCGAGGAGGGGGAGAGAAGGAAGAGAGCGGGGAGCCGTTACCTATACTGGGCCGCAGCCGCCGCCGCCGCCGCCCCGCTGTGGGTGAATCCAAAGTAGTTGCCGGTCGCCATTTTGGCATCTTCCCCCAGCCGGCTGGGCACTGCGGCGGGCACGGAGAGTCGGGTCCCATGGCGGGAGGAGAGACGCGGAGGGACCGGGACGCCGAGGGAGGGCAAGGGAGAGAGAGAGGCGCCGTGAGAAGCCGCCCGGCCGGCCCGGCCGCGGCCGCACAGCCGTCCGCCTCCCGCCCCGCGCTCCCTCACTCACTCGCACGCCCCGGTGGCGGCCGCCGCCTCCTCCCCGGAGCCGGCCCCAACCCCCGCGCCTCCCCGCAGCCCCGGGCCGGGGAAGGGGCAGGGCCGAGACCTCTCGGGCCACATTAGACTCACCATAGGTGAAAGAAACTACAGGGCATATGGGAATCATGGGCTCGGGCTTCTGCAGCTGAACTCTGAACTCTCACCCGCTGCCTCCCTCCTCTGCCCCGCTCCTCCTCAGCAGAGAACAGACCGCCACCTCCGGCCGCACTGCGCAGACGCGCCCGCGCGCGGCATCCTGGGAGCTGTAGTCCCCGCCGCCCTCGCCTCCCCCGCAGGCGCGGGCGCGGGTGGGCTGCACTGTGCGGGCTCTGCGCTGTGCGGATGAGGGGCGGCCTCGTGGGGCCGCGGAGCCACGAGCCGGGCCTCTCGGAGGCGGTGGGCCTGTGATCGGTGGCGGAGTGGTGAGCAACACCGCGCCGCTCCGCGGGGGAGTCAGTCAAGGAGCGTGATCAGAGGGAATGACGTCTGTTAGCATTCTCGCCCACTTTCACCGTGTTACTTTTCGCTGCGTTTCCTTCACTTTTGTGTGTGCATTCGTTATGCGCGTTGTCGTCCCCCTCGCCGTTCCCTTTTCGCTGGACCGCCCTGAACGAATTAGGGCCCTGCCTGGCTTCCCGCAGTCCCGCTGCGCCCTCCCCCACCTTTGAGGTAGCGAGAGGAGAGGAACAGAGACTGGAAGGGATGGCAAGTGCGGGCCTGGGAGGACGCCTCTGACCCGGCCCGCCGCCCCCACCTTGCCGAGTTGCTCACCCCTAGCATGTCGGGCGCTGCGCATGGGAAACTGAGCAGTGAGCAAAATAAAGTCCCGGGTTCGCGTGGGATTTACATCTAGGAGAGGGTGTGGGGCACACAACAGCTAAGACACAGGCATTTCCGTTTGTCCGATGGCGGTTAAAGCTTTAAGAAAAGGGCAGAGAGGCCAGATCCCTGTATTGGGGTGGCTGTGACAGGAGCATCGTGAGGCCTGCCTGGAATCAGAGCGAATTCAAGAATAAATCCGGGCAAAGGCGATAAGGTAAAGAAAGCTGCTGTTTTAGGCGACAACTTGAATGGAGACCTACATGGAGGGCATGACCTGCTAGAACTTAGACACAGGGCCCTAATGCGGGAAAGTTTGAGAGCATCAAGAAAGGTTGCGTTGAAACCGAGCCAATTCAAAAATTCAAGGCCAACCTAAACTAAGGAGCAAACCCAGTCTCCAAGAACCAAAACAAAACAGAGTGGGGACTGATGCCAAGCGGAGTGGTGCAAGCCTGTAATCCCAGCAGTCAGGAGGCTGAGGCAAGAGAGTGTTTTGTTTTTTGGCTTCACTGTACAAAGTTCTATGCCAACCGGTATTACATAGAAAGACAAGAGTCTCACTGTGTAGTCTAGTGTTGAACTCAAGGTGCTCCTCCTGCCTCAGCCTCCCTATGACTGGGAATACAGACGAGCGCCACCTCTGTTTTGCCATAAAGGTAGAACAATACCCTTTGCCGGATGCAGTGGCACATGCCTATAATCTCAGCATTCTGTAATCCCAATACTCAGAAGGCTAAGGCAAGAGTAAAGTAGCAAGTTCAAGACCAGCCTGGGCTTCAAAGTGAGTTTAAATCCAGCCTGAGCTGCACAGCCAGACCCGATCTCAAAAGACAAAAGCAAACAGTATTCCACCTTTCCAGGCATTTCTTCTCTATTTTCTCTTTACTTCCTCTGCACACCACCCCACCCCCATAGTAGCCCTACTCCCCCCCACCCCAGAGCCTGTTCCCCACTAGTGCTGAACTCAGATTCTCATATTAAACTACAGCCCCAGCCTCTTTTTAATTTTATTTTTAGGAGGGCTGGGGATTTAGCTCAGTGGCATAAACGCCTGCCTGGCAAGCGCATGGTCCCGAGTTTGATCCCCGGTTCAAAAAAATTTTTTTATTTTGAGACAGTGTCTAAGACGCTAAATTGTCCAAACTGGGCTCAAACTTTTGATCCTCTTGCCTTAGCCTTCCAGGTGCTGGGATTACAGGCATTTTCAGTCTTTCCTCATGCAGTCCCCGTTCTGGTGGACTGTGCCCACTACCTTACCTTTTTCTTGCCTCCTCAAATGCCAAGTGCTTCATTTTATCACTTCGCTTTCTCCATGCCATCCCCCAGTCTCCCTGCTACTCGTCTGTACTCAAAACTAGATACGATCACTAAAAAGAAAATTAAGAGATGAAATTCAGGGCTGTATCTCACCTTTCTTTCGGAGCAGAAACTGCTTCAGTTCTTACTGTGTCAACCCTACTCCCCCATAACTCCTGCAAAAGTACAGGTTCTGAAAACCTGTCTGATTTGTCCCCTTCCTCATTTCAAAAAGAAAAACTGCAGAACATTTCAGGAAAATTGTCACTGCTTTTGAGAATACTGATGTTTCCCCAGGCAAAAGGTATTTGTGCTTCAAGTGTGTTGCTAGGAAAAAATATCTCCTACACGTAGGATACTAGATCAGCATTTTTAAGGTGGTTTACCTTAAGCTTTGAGTGATGAAGCTTCAAGACACTGACTTAGCTGCTTTCATAAAATTCTCTATTACTAGGGTATTTGAACAAAACTAGGGGAGAAAAGACAAATGTTAATTACCTGCCTACAAGGACTGTCTAAGCCAGTTTTATTCTGGGCTATGTGAATGACCGTTAGAAGGTATTGTGTTGTTGGCACACCCATAAACAAGCATGCGGCTGCTCTAGGTGTGATGGTGCAGTCCTGTAATCCCAGTACTCAGGAGGCTGAGCCAGGAGGAGCATTACAAATCTGAGACCAGCCTGGGCTACAAATAAGTCCAGGGCCAAAGTGAACTGCATCTCAAAACTGGTCTCAAAAAACAAAACAAAGCAAAACAAACAGCATCAACAACAACAAAACAAGCATGCAATTGGAAAAGGAAAGCAGGCCTCATCTCTTTTTTTCTTAGGGATCAGAATAGGAGGTGCTGCAGTACTAAATATTGTTTACAATGGCTTCTCTTTAAAAATGCAGCCTGTGGGAAGAGTTTTAACTTGCCCCTACCTTGGGTTTATTTAAGGAAAGGGTTTTGGAGAAGACAGGAATTAAACCCCCCCCCCTTAGTCATAGGATGACTTGAACATGTTATTTGACCTTTGTGAACCTGTAAGACAAGAACACCAATGTCATCTGTTTCACAAGATTTTCGTGGGCATTAAATGAGGTAGCATTTACATAACTTTTTATTGAAAAGAATAAATCAGATGCTTGTGAATCAATTGCCTAGTACTGTGTGAATCACTCACCTACAACAAAAAAGTAGGTGCCTCTGCCCTTGAAGATTATATTTCCCAGAGTGTCCAGTGAGGGCAACGTGACAGCAGCAGTGTACAATCTTCTGGGCGAGTGATGTGAGATAAGCAGAGATGTGGAGGCAGTTGATTATAACATCTGCGCCCTTCATAGCCAGAAGTGGTTCCTAATGCAAATCTAAGCAATCCCTCTGTGATTCCCATCCCACTCGAGGTAAAGCAAAATTCTTCCATGTGGCCTACAAGATTTTAGGAGGTCTAGCCTTGCCTTTCCCTCCTCTTCCTCATTTTCTCATTCCACATACATTGGTCTCCCTAACAGGACTTTGCTTCTCTTTGCCTAGAATGTTCTTTCTTTTCTTTAATTGGTTAATCTCTGTGTTTGAAGATCGCGACTCAGTCAACCCTTCTTCATCCTTCCCTGTCCTCAGTGGCCAGCCTTTTGTCACCTTGATACAGCTGCAGTCTTAAAACATGTTGTGGGATTCTTCGATGTGTATGTGTTTCTCCCCTTCCACCATTATCTTCATGGGGCAGAATGCCAATGTTGAGTGTCCGGTGAGAGATACCCCATAGGTACTTCTGGAAAGAATAAACCAGACAGTGCATAACTTAATCTTTCTTTGATGATTCAGAGGGTAGTTCAAGGACCTGTAGTGCCTCAGGGTAATAATTATGAACCATTATTAGGATTTTAAAGCAGACAGATAAGAAAATGTTAACTGGCAGTCCTGTTAGCCACAAGGTGGCACTAGCCTAAGAAAGCCAGCCTCTAGCCTTTCTGGAAATACTGTGTAACCTTCCATCACAGTTTTTCAGTCAAGGCCTGGTATTCTGAAAGACCATATTAAAATATGGATATATTACCCAGAAATGATATCATATTAGCTGCTCTATACCAAGAGGGCTGTATAGGGAGGTGAATAGGAGTAAAGATGATAACTGGTCCCAACCAGATTGAAATCCCAGTTGTGTCACTCATTACTGTGGGATCTCAGCTACTTTTCTGTGCCACAGTTTTATTATTCTCTGTAAATCAGGATGTAAAAGTAGAACCTATATCAGGGATTGTTGATAGGGTTTTAACTTCCTCATAAATGTGAAGCTGTAGATCACTACTTTGTTTGTTGTAAGCAAGGTGTGAGTGTGGGCTTTGTTCTATTGCAACTAGTCTCACAGTCAGAAAAGGAGCCAAAGAATGGGAAGGGGAAGATGACAAGCATATGAGAAGTATCTAGATAGATCAGGGTAGGATGAAAGATCAGAGAGGCAAGGAACAAATTGCTGTCCTTCCATTGTTTTTGGAGATCCAGGGAGAAGGAGGGCAGGAAACTCATTCAGAGCTTGTGATCCTCTCCTCAGATAGAAAATGGCCATCGTTGACTTGGGACTAATATCTAAAGAAAGGGAAATCATGCACCAGCATTGGTGTTGATTCATACAGCCTCTGATGCCAGGCATTGGGGGACCTCATCAGCCCTGGCTGGTGATAGGAGGGCATAGCATATGGAGAACAACAGGATTATGAAAGGCAGCTGAGCCAGCTGTTGAACTGGCTCCTAAGGCGCAGGCAAGGTATGTGAGTGTGTGATTCAAGGGGTAAAGCCCTGGTCTCCTTCAGGACTTCAGCTGCTGGAGTGTGGCAGTGGAAGACGGGAAGTAAGCCCGTCTTAACACCCCTCACCTGTGTTGTCTAAGCAGAACGAACCAGCAGAGTGAGTCTGAATTGAATCCTTGAAAGATTGCTGCTGGTTAAGCTATGGTGGTCTAGCAAGTAGGAACAAGAATATAAGTGAAAAATGGAGGTAGAATATAGCAGCAAACAGATTTAAAATGAAATCAGGGTAAAGCCAGGAGGAGGAGGAGGCTGAAACAATGAGCATCCTACACAGCACCTGCCATTTATAAACCCCCTATAGTCTGAGGTGTGATGTCTACCTTCCCCCTAATGAGCTAGACACCAAGGTGTTGCCAGACAAAAGGTCTCAGAGCTTTCTTAGAAATTCTAGGCTGGTTCCTAAGACCATGCCCTTGACACTGCTCCAGGGAAAGCAGACCATGGTGCTTAAAGGAATCTAAAACCTCTTTCACCATGCACATATTCTGATTCTTCATCTCATTTGGTAGGGTTGGTCAAAGATGGAGATCAAATGACAGAATTCATGCTGAGAATGTAGACAAGGTTAATTGGCATCAAAGGTAAGTGGAGGAAAACCACAGTGCTTAGTAATTTCTGTAACATTGAACATGTGTAGGAAGCACTTTTCAAGTTTTTAGGAAGGACAGGGGCTGGGGATTTAGCCCCGCGGCATAAGCGCCTTGCAAGTGTGTGGTCGTGAGTTCAATCCCCAGGACCAATTAAAAATAAATAGAAATTTAAAGTTTTTAGGAAGGCCATAGGGTAAGTCTGTGCTGAGAAGAAAGCCATGCATACAGCCTCTGCTGAGTTCCTGGTCCAGCAGGTACTATCTTATCCGGGGGAATGTTCAATGGATCTTCTGATGTAGCCTGTTGCCCTTAACAGTTATTATCATATCCTCTTGGCTATAGAATTATTCTGTCAGTGATGATAATGTGGGGAAAAGTTGGGGAGAATAACCCATACAATGATATGCTTGTTGAGAAGAAGCATAGCACTGTGTTAGGTTAGAAGCATAGCTGTGTGAGCTAAGAAATGTACTGCACTAAAAGAACATTCTTCAGAAGCCAGTTGAAGTTCTTTCTAGAGTTTTTGGACAGTGGATGGTACATGGTGGGTAAGGAATGGAGACATAAAAGACTTTAATTAAGGGATAAACTGAGAACCATGGGCTCAGATCAGACACTGGGATAATCATGGATTTTAAATGTTTCCTTGATAAGCCTCTAGTACAAAAATAGGATTAGAGCAGAAGATGTCATGTCATTTCAGGAGGAGATTTTATGACAGGGTGGTTTTTCCAAAGGCCACATTTTGTGAGCTTAAATCGTATCTGCACCATTTTTTGTGTGTCTCGTACAAATTTTTAACCTCTTTGAGCCTCAAAACTTTGAGGAAATAAAAATAAAGAATTCTGAGAAAATAATGATACCTCATATGGTTGTTGTGGTTATTAAATGAATTAATATGTAAGGTTGGAACATTGCTTGGCATATCAGCGCTCAATACGTGTTGTTAGTGTTGCGATACAATTGCTTTTCTACCATCTTCAAGACCATGGCTGCAGACAAGCAGGCCCATTAAGAAGTTACACTGTGAAATTAAGCGTGGTAGTTTCTCACAGGAATTCCAGGATAATATTTGGGCTATTTCGGTTCTGTAGTTGTTTTGACATATGTTAAAGATGATAGTGTGTGGAGGATATCTATTAAAAAAGAGATCCCCGGGGGTTCTTGGCTTATGTCTAATCCTCTAAATAAACTCTGGAGACTTGCTGGGGCATCTTTGTAGCAGAAATAACAGGTGTGTGTGTGTGTGTGTGTGTGTGTGTGTGTGTGTGTGTGTTTATGGAGTTCCCCAGAAAGTAAAAGCTGGTGGTTTTATCGTTCATGTTCAGGGGCAGCTACTGTAAAATTACTGGTAAGTGTGATTATTGCTCACATGAAACTTTTTTGGTTACTATAAGAAAGAATAGTTATTTGCAATATCTTTGAGAGTATTTGAGAAGAGAGCATCTTTTAGCTTAAACAACCTCTAATCTCTGTTATTCTATTATAACTAGTTTTTTCAATTAAATGTTTAAATTAAGATATAATTCATATCCCATAACACTCACCTTTTTGAAGTATTAAATTCAGTGATTTGTGGTACATCTCCAAAGTCGTGCATCTATCACCACTATCTAATTTGAGAATATTTTCTTTAATCACTGATGAGTCTTATGCCCCTTAGCATTCACTCCTCATTTCCACCTCCTCCCAAGCATAAAAGTACTTTCTGTTCTTTTATGTCTGGATTTGTCTGTTTTAGGCATGCAAATTAAATTATAGAAAGTGTGGCTTTTTGGGCTTATTTCACATACCATAGTGTTTTCAAATTTCCTTGCCCATTGTTTGCATATATCACATTTTATTTATTCACTCATATATTGAAAGACAATTATATTGTCTCCATTATTTGGCTGTTATAAATAATGCTACTATGAACATTGATGCACAATTTTTGTATGGACATCCACTTTCAGTTCTGAGTGGAATTACTGATACAACGTAATTTTAACTTTATAAATATCTGAAATTCTTTCCTCTTCATAACTGCTAACCTTGTTCAGTTTTTCCACAGTATTCCAGTACTTCACTAGTATAATAATTGGTGTCTTCTTAAGAATATTATTGTTTTCAGGCTTATCTTCCACACAATTAACAAACAACCTAAATTTAGTTTTGTCTGACACTGGGGGTGGGGGGATGGGTTTACCATGGTGCTATAACCCGAGTCCTCTTTCCTTTGTTTTGAAAAGTTGGCGAAGTTGCCCAGGCTTAACTTGAATTTATGATCTTTCTGCCCCAGCCTCCTAGTAGCTGAGATTACAGGCATGCATCGCCAGGATCTAAGATTTTCTTAAAGCAGTAATATGAATAATTATATATATTATAGTGTATTATCATTTACTCTTTATAAAAACCCATGAGGTAGGCACCATTATTATCATATTTTTTAACTTTGAATTCACAAAGCTGGTGAGTGCCAGAGGCAGCATTTAAAGTAGGCCTACCTGACTCCAGAATGCTCTATGACATATTGCCTCCCTGAAACACATCTGACCAGCATGCCACTATCTTACTGCAAACCCAACAAAGATTTGCACTTTGAGAATATGTCCTATTACTAGTGGGTAAGTAGAGTCTCCTTCGTGTTTTCAGGTTTAGTAAGTATGGCTATTTTTCACCTATAAATGCCTAGAGCATTTATATTATTGTCTCTCCAATTATTTGATATCCCACACATGAGTTCGGTCCCAAAACAAAATAAAACATATGTCTTTGATATCTTCTTTTTGCCTTCCCAAACTACCACCTGATGGATTGGCACATAAGCAGAGACCAGCCTATTTTGGTTCTCACAGCTCCCTTGACATTCTATCCAGCACTTGGTGTTTGCTGCCAACTCTCAACACCCAACACCAGTGTTGTAAAGGTTTCGTTGTGTCAGTAACACATTCTTAGGTGTCTAAAGAACCTCCAGAACTTGGAGCAGCCACAGGAATAACTATTTAAAGGCTTGGAGAGCCTGGGGATATAACTCAGTGACACAGTGTTTGGCTAGCATACGTAAGGCCTTGGGTTCAATCCCCAGGACCCGCCCCCCCCCCAATGTATGGAAAGATAGAAGTTTAGAGAAGAGTGTTAGCCTCACTGTGAGCTGAATTAGAGCTTCATAATTATATCCATGAGACCTGTCAAAGAACATATCATTTTAGGGCTCGTAATATCCAATAGAACTTTGATCAAAAATGGAAATGTTGAGGTCATGAGTTTGATCCCTGGTGCCAAAAAAAAAAAGGAAATGTTTCCCATCTGTGCCATCTAATTTGGCAACCTCCAGTCATATGTGGCTACTCAGCACTTGAAATGTGGCTGGTGGCACAGAAAGTAAAATTTTA